CCGCACTCAGTGTCCCCGGCCCCGCCGCAGGCCACCGCTGACCCACGCCTCCACTGGAGACTCCTGGACACCCCCAGGCAAGCCTGGGTCAGTCTCTGTGGGATCACTGCTCCTTTCTTCTGAGTTCTGGTGCGCACAAGGTTTTTCTTTGTGCTCTCCAAGATTCTGTTTCCCCAGTCCTGTGTAAGTTCTGGTGGTTCTATGGTGGGGTTAATGGGACCTCCTCCAAGAAGCCTTATGTAATACCCAGGTCTACTGCACCCAGAGTCCTTGCCCCTGCAGCAGGCCGCCACTGACCCTGAGGAGACACTCAAACACAGTTCTGGCTCAGTCTCTGTGGAGTCTCTGGGTCCTGGTGCACACAAGGTTTGTTTGAGCACTCTGAGCATCTCTGGCAGTTATGGGCTTTGATTCTAAACGTGGTCGCCCCTCCTACTGTCTTGCTGGGGCTTCTCCTTTGCCCTTGGGCGTGGGATATCTTTTTTTGGTGGGATCCAACATTCTCCTATTGACGGTTTGTTCAGCAGCAAGTTGTAATTTTGGAGTTTTTGCAGATGAGCACATATCCTTCTACTCCACCATCTCTATTTATTACCATGTCTTTTGAGGCCACACATATATGAATACTTTAGAGGTCAACTGTGAGTCATTGGGCCTCATTTTTTAGGGTCTGTGATGAATTAGATGTTTAGTTTGGGGATGGTTGATTCCTTTGGAGTCTTCCTGGCTCCTTGTGTTCAGGCAGACAAGGAGTGATTCTCTCTCAATTGAAACACTGCGTAATTATCAAGTGACTGGGGATTGTGTATTGTATTTACAGTTGGGGAGCTGCATGATGGGCAAACACTAGGAGGCCCTGGGGTGAGACCCCACAGAATCCTGCCTCTGCCCCTTAAGCTGTGTGTGTAGGTTGTGAGTCTGGAGGAGACTGGCCTGCCCCAGGAGCTGAGAGAACAGGGTGTCTGCTGCACGATGAGTTGGTATGTGTGTGTGTGGGGGGGGCAGGCCTGTGTGACCAAGGGATTGGCAGGCCATGGAAAGGATTTGGAGTTTGTTACTCAGTGCCGTGGGCAGCCACTGAAGGGTTTGAATGGGGGCAGGGATGTTTTCAGGTGATTGTTTTCACCCTGTCCTTCCAGCCTTGGTCTGGAGGATGTGTGAGAAGAGGGAAAGTGGGCAGGGTGTCCATAGGAAGGCCTTCAAGGAAGCTATTGCCATTCAGAGGCTGAGCCAGGCCCATGCTCCATCATTTTAAGTCTCTCTCAGATGGGAACCTTCCATCACCTCAGATGGGGCAAATTATAGAGCCACAGTACAAAGGGGCATGTCCTTCTCACAACCAGACTTCTGCTAAGTCATCTAGATCTGTGTATTTCATCCCCTTCCACTCACACGAGAGGAGAACATGGCTCTGCCCATCACCTCCCCCCATAGGCTGGCGTTGAAGCCTAAGGTTGCCGACCATGCAGGTGACATTACTTTGAAATCTATAATTCTAAGTATTTTAAATAATTCTGCTCCATCATATCAGTGCTGGATTTAACACACAAAACCATCTTCCTCTAGCTCTACTATTATCTGTTCCCCCTTTTTGGATAATGAATCCAAGGTTTAGAAAGGTAACATACTTCACCCAAATCACACACCAGGTTGATATGCAGGCCCTTGGATTGCTTAGTCTTTGCTCTGAGTTCATTCTTCACTACTATACCCTCAGTCCCTAGAACAGTGCCTGGCAGGTGCTCAGTAAATGTGCACTGGATAGTTTATATTGGGGTGCTCTGACACACAGTGTTAGGAACCCAACCCCAGGTGCCTGAGCTACCTGGGAAGCCGAGCAGAATCCACACTCCTGAGAGTCTGCATGCACCAGAAGAAGTGGACGCTCCCTGCATTCTCCATGCCTTCAGCACATTCTGGCGCAGCCCCAATGACCAGTGAGATCTTGGAGCATACCCATCTGCCCCTTCTGCTCACATTGACCTCTGGAGGATGGTATCCTGTGTCAGGCTCCTCTCCTCATGCATGATTCCTGGTACATGTTACATGTGACTGGTTATAGAATTCAACCTGAGTATCGAGCACCAGAATACTGACAGGGGCTCCTGCGTCTGCCTTGCTCCAGGCCAGGACCCATCTTTGAACCCATCTCATATAAGGGAGAGTCCAGGTACAGGCAGAGCTAAGACTAGGTCCCCGCTGGAAGGGCCGGCACCAGGTGGGGGCCAGTCAGTCCTTAGAGACACTGTGCTGCTCTTGGTTCTCTTGAGGTAAGCCTCAGATCCCAGGGAAAAGGAAGCAGTTTGAAGCTTCCTGAGCCCGACTGTGGAGAGCATGGTGATGCAGGCCTGTGAGACGAGGAAGCAGGAAACAGGAGGATGAGTTCCGTTTTGGCTGTGTTAATTTTCCTGATAGAGTTGGCTATCAAGTATCAAGTCTGTGGTGGTTGTTTAATTGCTAATTCACATCTCACTCTTGGGACCCCACGGACTGTAGCCCGCCAGGCTCCTCTGTCCATGGTATTTTTTCAGGCAAAAATACTGGAGTGGCTTGCCATTGCCTTCTCCAGGGGGTCTTCCTGACCCAGGTATCAAACCTGGGTCTCTTGCATTGGCAGGCAGATTCTTTACCAACTGAATCACTATGTCTGTAAATAGTTGAAAATGGAGCTCTGAAGAGAGGGAGGTTAGGGCTGAGGGTGCAGATCAGGGCACTTCCTCACACTCACAATCCCCTCTTCCTGCCTCCTGTAATGGCTGGACTGTTCTTTGGACCGTTAGAGGCGGGGCTGCATCCTGAATGAAATGAATTTGTTTTACTCACCTTTCCAGTGGAAGTTCTGTAATTGCTCACACCCTGTCTCTGTTTTTACCATCTGTTGCATCAGTTTAATGAATTTTATATGGTGTGTTCTTTATTTCAGAAAAACTATACAACTCCACTGGACGAGATTTAAGAAGGGCCCTCTTCTCCCTGAAGCAGATATTTCAGGTAAAAAAAAAAAAAAGAGTACTGTCAGGTTCTGCTTTTGCATTGCTGTGGGATTGTATGCAGATAAGTTTATGCCTTTTACTGATTACAAAAAGAGAAATGCTTTAGAATACAAAGTACATTTTGGTCAAAATATCAGTTAAGAGTATTTTTACCATGTCAAATATTTCAAACAATAGGAGGTAAAGAAAACATCATCAGAATCACAATATTTTTCCATGTTTACTTCAGATTAAAAAAAAAATACCTACTACAATTGTAATTGAAGTCTTCTGTTTGCTGCATACTGGCCACCCTCTTGGGGTCTCTTCTCTACTGAATGTCAGATATAGTGTTTACCATGCAAATGCACATTTCTGTACTAATGGGTGAATATTCTCCCACAATATGTGACATTCTTTTGTGTCAATTGTATGTGCATGCTATCATGCAGCATGTATACTGATGCAGTTTATTTAGTGAGAACCAGATCAGTGTGGGCATGACCCAGGTAGCTCTGAGTGTCACTGTGTGAAGGAAGCACAGTTTGTCTTGTTCATCGTCTGTTGGTGGACATTTGGGTTCCTCTCCGGGGTTCTGCTGTTATAAACCATGCTGCTAGGGACACGCCCCCTTGTGTGCATGTGTAGGCATCTCTGTTAGGTTCCATCTTATCCTTTGCCCCAAACTTTCCCTCTGCTTCTCCCCTGGGCAAGTCACGAGCTTAGTGAAGAGGACTGGGACTGGGGTGCAGGCAAACTCCAAGCTGTCACCCACAGGAGACTTTAGGGGAGAGAGACAGAGCAAGGGTCAGAGAGTGAGGCTGCTGTGCCAGGGCAGGGTCAGGAAAGGCAGGATGAGCTTCGTGAAGATGGCATTTGCAATGAGCTCGTGTCTGTGTAGGTTCATCGTTCTTGCTCTCATATTAGACTCTAGGGTGTAGTCAGTCCATTTCTCTTTAGTTCCCATCTCCTTGACATCCTTAAAGAATTTTCTGTCCGTGATAGCTCCAGCCTGAGTGGCCGTCTCCTTCATGGATGTTTCCTGTCTCAGGGGGATTGGCAGAAAGGCAGGCCAACAGGCCATCCCGCCTGCACGTTCTCGTCCCATTTTAAAACCTGTTCAACCGTGCACGCCCTCCTCTTTTTCCCAGAGCAGAACCCTTCTCAGTGACAGTGTTTTTGAAGACGAGTCCTCATGTCTCATTTTCCCACACTACAGGTGTGACCCTGAGTCACCGTTGTCCCTTTAGATCGCACATCTCAGAAGTGCCTTGAGGTTTCGGGCCATCCTTGGTTCAGGCCGTTTCTTCTGGGAGAGTTCTAACAGCTGTTGTGGACACTGTTCAGTCCTCCACGACTCAGTCCATCCTCCAGCTTCCACCAGAGGGGGCTCACGAAGTCCTTCTCACGCTGGTTCCGTGTAGCCTTATGGGTTACATCCGAATCTCTCAGGACAACGCTGAGGCCCTCTGGCCCTGGCCGCTGCAGCTCACCTCCCTTCCTTCGCTGCGGGGACATCTCACTGTGACTGTGTTCTGGGAACAAGCCGTGCCCTTTCTCTTCTGTTCCTTTGCCCCCGGACCTATTGCTTCTATCCCAGGATGGTTCCTCCCCACAATCCCTCCCCATGTCCCTCAGTTTTCCACCCCATGTCTCCTCCTGCCAGGGATTCTCTAGATGAACCCTCACTTCAGTCAAGGGCTCTCCAAATACCTCTATTGCTGTGCTTACCTCTGGAATAGAGCTTGAGATGCTCAGGGCGCTTGTCTGAGTCCAGTCACCTGTGAGCTCCCTGGGGTCCATCACTGGCTCTTTGGAGCCTCATGCAGTGGCTGGTGCTACTGAAGCAATAGATGAACAGACCGGGCGATTGGAATACTCTTCTCAAGGGTGTCTGTCTTCAGTCTTTCCTCTCTTTGATTTGAGTAAATGCTTCGCTAATTACTTGTCCCCAAGTTTCACTTCCCATGTATTTATCAGTGTCTCCTTGCTTTTTTTTTTTTTTTTCAATTTCAGTAAGCTTTTTTCTCCCCCCAAACTTATTTACTTTTAATCGAAGGAAAATTGCTTCACAATGTTGTGTTGGCCTCTGCCATACATGGTCATGACTCAGCCATAGGTATACATGTGTCCCCTCCCTCTTTAACTTCCCTCCTATCTCCCACCCCTTCCCACCCCTCTAGGTTGTTACAGAGCCCTGGGTTGAGTTCCCTGGGTCATGCAGCAAATTCCCATCAACTGAACAAAACAGAACTTCCTTTACCCCCTGTTATGTCCTTCTCTCGAACTCAGATTCCTGACAGCAGCTGGGCTGGGCTCGTACTGTACTGCCGGAAGTCCACACTCGTGACACTCCACACCCTCACTCTTATAGCCCTTCAGCCTGCCTGCTGTTTGCATTGTTCAGCCTTTCCATTGTTCGCCTCACCGAGTATCCAGTTGGTGGCAGAACCACACAGAGAAGAGCTCTTCCAAGTGACTTTGAAACATTACAGTTTGTGTACTCTGTGTGGAATATACTCTTAGAAGATAAAGAACCACACACACATGCAGATCAACTGTTTATAATAATAATTTTGCTGGTAGTATTGTTAGTATTGGTATTCTGATACTGCAGTTTGTGTGTTTTCTAATTTTGTTATTCTTAAGAGTTCTTAAGGATTAGGGTTCTTAGTGTGTGGAAGAAAGTTGATAGAAAGATAAAACAGTTAAGTTAAGAAAAGTCTGGATTTCTGAATTTAATTGGAAGTATTGAAATGAACCCATGGTGTTTATTATCCTAACAAACTTGCAAAACATATTTCTAGCACTAAGTTTATTGAAAAGTACTAGAAGCAATGATCAACCCTTTAGCAAAAACCACCACTAGCACAGAGATTGTGGTCTTAAAATACTGAAAGGAACCAGAGTTCCTTGGAGAAATAGCTGACTTCAAGTCTGGCCTAGGAAATGGGTAAAATAAACTTGGAACATATTATTATAGATAGCAAAGAAGCTATCAAATATGACAGCAAAGAAGCTATCAAATATGACTAGGATTATTGCCAAAGGAATTGGGACCATGTTGAAGGGTCTCCCACTGGCTGGCTGAAGATGGACAATATAAGCATCAACAAGCATGATAATTACATTGGGTTGAAGCACATCAGCTTAATCTGCATTGATGAGTTCATAATAATACTAAAGAATAACAATGAATTGGTCACCAATGGAAGAAAGATGGTGGTGAACCAGCTGTTTATTTTGAAAAATGGATAAAATTCTAAAATCACACATTTATCTTACTTTTTCCTATAGAGCTTTAGGATAATCAAACAGTAGTTGAGGGAAGGTATGCTTATAAAAATATCCTAGCTATTTAGTAAGAAGGAGTGATATAGTTAGAGTATCACTTAGAACATCAGAGTTTTGCAACCTTGAATGAATTAATGGATCTAGGTATGGAGCTTCAAGACCTGCTGATGCAATGGAAATGAGATGCAACCAGCTATTATGTACCTTCTCATGGAAACTCACACTGCCGTTGAGGATGCAGTCACACCAACAGATTCAACCCTGGATGTGTCTGGTCCTGCCTCTCTATGCGGTAACCAATTTACAAATGATCTAAGACAGAGGCACATGTTAAACCACACTAGAAGTAATCAACACAACCCAGAATACAGGCTACTCTGAAGGACAAATGATCTAGCTGCTTCAACACACCAATTTCAAGGGAAAAAAAGAGGTGATTTAAAAGACATTTTAAAATTTTATCAGCTAATTGGCACATGTGGATCTTATTTCGATCCTACTACAAAATGTCAAAAAAAAAACAAACCCTATAATTTTGAGACAGTTGAAATTGGTCATTGTCCAGTTGAAACTGGAAATTTGATAATATTAAGAAAGTATTCATTTTTATGGTGAGTACATAATTTTTTTTATGATGATTACATAATTTTAAAAAGCGTTCCTATACTCTGGAGGTACATATTAGAATATTTATGGATTAAATCATGTGACATCTGGGATTTGCTTCAAATGAATACGGCAGCAGACAGGGTGGGGTGATAGATGGAACAGGATTGATGTGAATTGATTGGCACCTGGCTCCCTAACTTGTTCTGTCTTCTTTTGTATGTTTCAAGTTTTCCATGGTGAAAAAGTTAAAAGATAAATTGAACACATGGCGATCTAGTTTCATACCCCCTCACCATGTTTGTTCTATAGTGTTGTCTGTCTGAATTCTCAAGGATACTGTTTCCACCTTTTACTCAGCAGACACGTATTTTTGAACAGCCTTTATTGGCATTATGTAGGCAAGGATGAAGACATTTGCTCTCAGAAGTTTAATCTGTTTGGAAGACCACAGACCTGTCCATCAGATAGCTCCATCCCACAGGGGTCTTGGGTGGATTCCACAGCCAGCAAGCTGTCTGGAGTTTAGATCACCTTCTCCCAAACCCAAGTGTCTGCATCTCTATCATATCTTAGGTTTCTTTGATGTGTGGAAGTTCCTTTTGGAACTCCAGTTTAAAGGGTGTAAAAACACAGCCATTGGTCATTTGGATTGAGTTGAATATTCCTTGATTAACAGGTGTCGAAAAAATGATCACAGGTTAAAGTGTGGCCATTAATCTGGAATTCAAGGATGATCTCTTATTAGTTAGTGTTAATATGTTGATTTCATTGGAGTCAGAAAGCAGTGTTTCAAAAATCATTTATTAACGCCCATGTACTTTAAGGTATGTGTTCAAAATCTTGTACATTGCCAATTTGGAAGATATCTTCTACATTTATTATCAGTATATTTTAATTTCCTAAATGCCTTATCTACATATGTGCATCAATTTAAGTTAGGGTTCCAGATTATTTTTATAAACACTGCCCAGTGTCTTTTTCCAAGAGCCTTTGCCAGACAGTCAGCTCTCTGCTATATTAATATTAGTGATTAGCTTGAGTGGTTTCTTGAGAGCTTGTTCTCACTTTTTCACCATGAAGTCATGTGTGAATCTAGTTTTAGTTAAAGTAATAAACATTTGTTACATGCTTGGAAAAACTTTCTGACTAGACATGAGCTCATCTAAATGTTCGCTTTTCACATATGCTGGTGGAAAAGAATATGGATGGAGGGAGAATTATTTTTATTTCCTTCATACATACGAGTGTAAAGTGATTTTCCAAAAATCATGATATTGTCCCATTTTCTCTTGCTTCCAAAGCCATGATTATCTTCAAGCCTGAGTTAACACAGCTGTCTTTCATTACCGTCGGGGCACGGCTGTGTTCACCCCCCCCACCCCCGCCCCAGTGCCCTCTGAAAGTTAAGAGTGTGTTTTTGGTTCAAAGGGAGTAGCTGCCTGGCCTGCCACCTCCTCCCCACCCCCACCCCCTTTGCTCAATTCCTCCATCCATATAACTGGAAAATGCCATAAAATCAAAATGAGAAGCTGCTTTCAACATGGAGACAGGAGAGTTATGCCAGTGTGTCTAAATTATTTTTTCTTTTTTGGAGATAGACCATGGTTGCTGACCATTCCTATAATAATAACCTTTCATTATTCTATTAAACTTTCTACTACTTACATCACTGAGGTTTTTCATTTTTGCTCTGTTGTTATAATTGAAGATGAATGTATCCTAGCTGCATTTGAGATAAAGCAGGGTCCAATCAAGGAAATCTCCTCCCAAAACAGTAGTGGAAAAGTTTGTCTCATAGGGCTCTATCAAACTTGGTACTCCAGGCAAGGGGCTGGCTGGGCCATAGTTAGGTCATCTTGGCCAAAGTTTTGCCACTCCTGAGTCTTCATCTGTGTAGGGAAGGCAGGATTAGATGAGTGATTCTTGAACTGGTTGCCCTTTAGGATGGATTTCCTTGGGAATTTAATATCAGAGCCTGGACCCCACCCCAGAAATTCTGGTTAAACCTGTCTGGGCGGGGGCTGTGTCCTGTTCCTTTTTAAAGCTCCATCGATGATCCTGATGCGAGGGAGTCAGGGGTGAGAAGACGACCCTGAGCACCTCTGAATCCCCGCAGAGCTTATTAACCACTGGTCCCTGGGCCCCACAGTGGAGCTTCCTGACCAGTAAGTCAGGGTGGAGCTGGCTACTTTGCATTTCTAACCAGTTTCCAGCTGGTGCGCAGGTGCCTGTGGCTCCGGAGACCTGTCTTTGAGAACCACCCTATTGGGTGACTCCAGTGATTCCTTCCAGGTCCTGCTTTCTGTGATTAGACTGCAGGCTGACCGCAGTGAGGGACAGTGTGGCTGCTCCAGACACACGGCCGATTCTCTATTCTGCCTCCTCGCTTGTCCTGTGAGCAGCACAACTTGGAAGGTGGAGAAACTGCTCCCTTACTTTCTCAGATGCTGTTTGCAAGACCCTCATAACCTTCCTTAGGGACTGTCCTTTGAAACACACACGTGGCTTTGAATCCTTCACAGGATGGTCTGTACCGCAACTCAGTGTTTCCTGTGCTGAAACCCAGCAGGCTTCAGTGGCTGGTTCCTAGGGACCTGTGGGGGCCTGGAGCCTGGTGCCTGGTGATTTCTGAAGAATGAAAAACAGATCACTATAAATATTCCTGACAGTCAGGGGATTCATTTGCTTTATCTTTATTAGCTTGCCCAGAAGGCAATAATTGGTCTTTGGCAAACAATGATGTGAAGACTGGTTGTAAAATTCCTCTGGCAATAGTTAAGATGCTTCATTTGAATAGAGCCGAACAATCTTCAGAGGTCGGTCTGGAGTCAGAGGCTTGTACGTAGTTTTCACTGCACAGCCTGGATGGAGGATGGACTGGGACAGTATTTGAAGTTTCTCTCTCTCTCTCTCTTTTTTTCTTTCCCTGTTTCCTGCCAGGATGACAAGGATTTGGTGCATGAATTTGTAGTGGCTGAAGGTCTGACGTGTTTGATCAAGGTGGGAGCTGAGGCAGATCAGAACTATCAGAACTACATTCTGAGGGGTAAGTTATGCTGGGTGGTTGGCACCCAGCCCCTCCAGGAACTTCAATACTGAGAGCTTTTTAAAAAGACTTGGATTACCAGGTAAGGTGATGAAGACATCCTGTAGCAAAAGATGACACTTTCATTAGGTTTTATCAGTTCTCATAACTTTAAAATTAGAGACCGAGTTCATTTTACTGACTTTACGTGAAAACTCTTCCCAGTCGTTGAGAAAAGAGAGCATTCTGCTCACTAGGTTCTTTATATTCTCTTTTACTTAGTGAGGAAAGGGACACACCAAGTGGCTTGGAAAAGGCCTGCATTGCAGCACAAAGCCCCCTAAAACCAACAAAGCCAATTATTACCTGGGAAAAATATAATCTACAACTTGGGTTATCACTGGGAGTATCTGTCAGAAGCACGCCTTCCTCATCAGGTCTGGGGCGGGCCCAGAATCTGCATTTTACAGAAGGATGCTGAAAACTACCTCTGTGATTTCATTTTTTAACAAAGTGGTGCATGTGTGGTGTTTGAAGCACTGATTACTCTTCCAGTTCATAAAGTGAATGCTCTTTTCAGAGTTAAAGTATCTTTGTGTATCTTCATGTAAATAATTTTCTTTGCTTCCATAAAGTCTGTGAATAGGCAGGGCAGACATTATTAGGTTGGATCACGTGACATAGCTATTATCAGCAGTATTAACTTAGCAGAGAAAAAATTTAATGCAGTTCAGTATTGTCTCCATTTTGCAGTTGAAAAATCTGACTCAAAGAGGTTGAGCACTTGCCTAAAAAATTCACCTCTTCTAGTGTGAAGTTGACCACGGGCCACATCCAGGCACTGGGGCGCATCATGGCTGATTGCGGTCCTGTTTCCCCTTTTGCACCTATCCTTGTACCTCCACAGCTCTGTGTTCATATAAGGAAGAAAAAGACCCTCCTTTCTTTTCCTTGGATGAAGGCAAAATACACAAAATGTGCTTTAATAGCAAATGTCCTTGGTTAGAGTTGAATGAGACATGCACAGTGAAGCACTCTCCTGCAGTTTCCTGTTGTGTTTTAACCCTGAGAAGGTTTCTTATGTTCTGAGTTGTGACCCAGCACCTGGAACTCTCTGGATCCTTCCCTGTTTTCTCTGCTTCTGGAGAGCCACTGCAACAAGGGCAGGAGCAAAAGGGAAAACTGAGCACTCATTAAAGAATTTTAACTATGTATTGTCATGAAGAATTTTTTAGTGATGTATTGTCATGTCAGTGTTAATTATTTCTATTCATTTTAATAAATGCCAGGTGTGTGTGTGAGAAAGGATTCCTCAGCCTCAGTTTCTCTGCTCCATGTGTTTGTGAGGCTGGCGAGACACCTCCTTCTGTCCACCTTCTATCTTTTCCTGGATGTGTGGAAGAGTCTCACTATAAGCTGTTGGTAGAAATGCTTTATGGATGAATTTTATGATTTCTGATCTCAGTGTCATTAAATCATTTATATGGAAGCTTTTACGGTATGTGTAGACAACCATAGAATTTGTCCTGCAAATGCAGCACTCCTTCTGTGTCTGAAAAGATGTGTAAAAGCCTTGATGCTCATCCTCATATTTCCATCTACACTGGCCCAACACCTGGAAGATGGCATGGCACAGAAATAAGGAGCATTTCCTCTGGGTTATTTTCCAGGTTACTTATACTGTGGATGCTCATAAGTTGAACCACGTGGAGAGAAGTATACCTAAAATTGCTTAATTCTGAATACTGGGTCCAAATTGACAGTGTTTTTATTTTGTTGTTGTTGTTATGTTTAAAGTATACATCATTTTCACTTGAAAATCTTCCCCATCTCTCTCTCTCTCTCTTTTTTTCTTTCCCTGTTTCCTGCCAGGATGACAAGGATTTGGTGCATGAATTTGTAGTGGCTGAAGGTCTGACGTGTTTGATCAAGGTGGGAGCTGAGGCAGATCAGAACTATCAGAACTACATTCTGAGGGGTAAGTTATGCTGGGTGGTTGGCACCCAGCCCCTCCAGGAACTTCAATACTGAGAGCTTTTTAAAAAGACTTGGATTACCAGGTAAGGTGATGAAGACATCCTGTAGCAAAAGATGACACTTTCATTAGGTTTTATCAGTTCTCATAACTTTAAAATTAGAGACCGAGTTCATTTTACTGACTTTACGTGAAAACTCTTCCCAGTCGTTGAGAAAAGAGAGCATTCTGCTCACTAGGTTCTTTATATTCTCTTTTACTTAGTGAGGAAAGGGACACACCAAGTGGCTTGGAAAAGGCCTGCATTGCAGCACAAAGCCCCCTAAAACCAACAAAGCCAATTATTACCTGGGAAAAATATAATCTACAACTTGGGTTATCACTGGGAGTATCTGTCAGAAGCACGCCTTCCTCATCAGGTCTGGGGCGGGCCCAGAATCTGCATTTTACAGAAGGATGCTGAAAACTACCTCTGTGATTTCATTTTTTAACAAAGTGGTGCATGTGTGGTGTTTGAAGCACTGATTACTCTTCCAGTTCATAAAGTGAATGCTCTTTTCAGAGTTAAAGTATCTTTGTGTATCTTCATGTAAATAATTTTCTTTGCTTCCATAAAGTCTGTGAATAGGCAGGGCAGACATTATTAGTTGGATCATGTGACATAGCTATTATCAGCAGTATTAACTTAGCAGAGAAAAAATTTAATGCAGTTCAGTATTGTCTCCATTTTGCAGTTGAAAAATCTGACTCAAAGAGGTTGAGCACTTGCCTAAAAAATTCACCTCTTCTAGTGTGAAGTTGACCACGGGCCACATCCAGGCACTGGGGTGCATCATGGCTGATTGCGGTCCTGTTTCCCCTTTTGCACCTATCCTTGTACCTCCACAGCTCTGTGTTCATATAAGGAAGAAAAAGACCCTCCTTCCTTTTCCTTGGATGAAGGCAAAATACACAAAATGTGCTTTAATAGCAAATGTCCTTGGTTAGAGTTGAATGAGACATGCACAGTGAAGCACTCTCCTGCAGTTTCCTGTTGTGTTTTAACCCTGAGAAGGTTTCTTATGTTCTGAGTTGTGACCCAGCACCTGGAACTCTCTGGATCCTTCCCTGTTTTCTCTGCTTCTGGAGAGCCACTGCAACAAGGGCAGGAGCAAAAGGGAAAACTGAGCACTCATTAAAGAATTTTAACAATGTATTGTCATGAAAAATTTTTAATGATGTATTGTCATGTCAGTGTTAATTATTTCTATTCATTTTAATAAATGCCAGGTGTGTCTGTGAGAAAGGATTCCTCAGCCTCAGTTTCTCTGCTCCATGTGTTTGTGAGGCTGGCAAGACACCTCCTTCTGTCCACCTTCTATCTTTTCCTGGATGTGTGGAAGAGTCTCACTATAAGCTGTTGGTAGAAATGCTTTATGGATGAATTTTATGATTTCTGATCTCAGTGTCATTAAATCATTTATATGGAAGCTTTTACGGTATGTGTAGACAACCATAGAATTTGTCCTGCAAATGCAGCACTCCTTCTGTGTCTGAAAAGATGTGTAAAAGCCTTGATGCTCATCCTCATATTTCCATCTACACTGGCCCAACACCTGGAAGATGGCATGGCACAGAAATAAGGAGCATTTCCTCTGGGTTATTTTCCAGGTTACTTATACTGTGTATGCTCATAAGTTGAACCACGTGGAGAGAAGTATACCTAAAATTGCCTAATTCTGAATACTGGGTCCAAATTGACAGTGTTTTTATTTTGTTGTTGTTGTTATGTTTAAAGTATACATCATTTTCACTTGAAAATCTTCCCCAGAGGATGCTGGCATGAATACACAGACCTCCACACACCTCTTTAGAACTAATAACCATCTACATGTTTCTGCTTCTGACCCTTACCTAGGAGTGTATATATGCATTTTTGTAGAGCCATCATCAGTATAAGCATCTTCATTCATCGGCCTCCAAGGCTGGAGGGAGTGGGGTGGCTCTACCTGCTATGGTCAGACCCCTCTGATCAGGAAGGTAAAATTCTTGTCAGGAGCCCCCCACAGACATCCCATGGATTAGAACTGGGTTGCATGACCACCTATAGCTGCAAGAGAGGCTGGCATGGTGGGTGCTTGGCTTCCAGGACTCTGAAGGGAGTCAGGCAGCAAGAGAGAAGGGATTGGCTTTGTGTCTGCAGGTTGCTCCTGTCTGCCACATGGAGGGAGTGAGGAAGGAAAAACTCAGCCCAGTTGAGAAAGCCTTCTGATAAGCAGTCCAGCAGTGACCCAGTTGGAGATATAGAGGCATCTGTCTGTCAATGAGGGCATCATGATACAGGGACAGCGTAAGCTCAGTGACTGTGCAAGGTCCCAAGTAGTGAATTGTGTCCATGGTACTTACAGGTAATCATAGATGGTGTTGACCTGGAATACTTCAGCTGGGCTCTCCACCCAGTGTACACTTATCATTAAGCTTGTGGTGGCTTGTTGATCTATAGTATCCTTATCTGCACTGGAAAGACACCAAAAGCCATCACCCAATGCTTGCGAATCAGAACTCCCAGGCACAGCCAGGGGAGAGCCCTACCAACCACCTGCTACTTCTCTGTCCCTGAAGGAAATGCCACTGAGGTAGGACCCTCACATAACAGCACTGCCTAATCTGTGAGGAGACCCCACATCTCCATTGCCACCACCGAGATCTTGCCTTCTGATTTTGATTTTCCAGTGGTGTCTGCTTATTGGAGGCCAGACGGCCACCATCTGTTACCTGGGAAACGAGTGAGAACCCCCTCGCATTCAGGTTACTGCAAGATGTCCTGCTTTCCATGCAGCTGAGGGGCCTTTGCACACTTCCACTGAGTCTCAGAGAACTTGGGGTAAGCAGGGCACTGGGTGCACACGTTAGCATGTCTGGACATATCTGACTGAAGCTCGTGCCAAGAAAGTGCACTTCTGAGCGATGTAAAGGACAGATTTCTTAGGCTGTGACTTTTGTGCTTTGATACAAGGAAGCTATCATTTTCCCCAGCCCATGTGTTGAGTCACCCCTTCCTGACCTTGAAGACATGTGGGCTTTTCTAGGTTGTGATCGACTGCCAGCAGCCACCAGACAATTGCAATCAAGGATAGCCTTTGAATTGCCTCTTTGTCCAACCTCATTTTAACCAAATTACCTTGGGTGAAGGATGGTGAAGCCAGATGCAGACAAAGAGAGAGAAACTGGAAAGAGGTTTCCAGTTTAGTCATTCACCATGCCCCAGGGAGAACATGTCATGCTGCCCTGGGCCCCTCGGGAGAAGCACGGCAGAGGGCGAAGGCCGGCACCTCTATCGTGGTGTCCACAGAAGGCAGGGTGAGCAGGATTAGGGTTTGCACAGTGTCGGTGGGCCCCGGGGTTCAGGGCCCGTGAGGACAGAAGTGTACAAGGCCCACATGGCAGGTGGTTGGGGGTGTGGACTTGAGCTGCTGGAGAGAGGGACTGACTGACATCTAACCAGAGCCTCCAAACTGAGCCCAGACGTCATTTGGAAACTCTCACAAGCCATAAGGTGGACCAGTTGTCCTGGTGCTATGGGGGCGTGGGCCCTTCACAAAATTTCCTCAGGAGCCCTGGCTATGTGACCATGTATAATGCCCCCAGATCCAAAGGAAACAGGAGTGTTTGGAGGACCCAGTCCTTTTCACATCTGCTTTTAGGACTCTCTTAATTTATATTTATTTTTGCACTCCGTCCTCTGTCAGCTCTCTCTCTCTTTTTTTTTTGAGTATCTGTTGCCCTGTGTTGAGGGTGTATCTGCTAAGACGTTAAAGACAGGTTTTGACTTACGGTGTAGCTTCGTACTCTCCAAAAATGTGAGCCGGCTGCTGGGAAGAGGTCTTAAAGGCACAACATGCAGAAATAATATTTATCTGACTTACTATTCTTGAATGGTTATGCTTAGTGATCTACAGGGTTTCTGTGTGTGTGTGTGTGTGTGTGTGAGAGAGAGAGAGAGAGAGAGAGAGAGAGAGAGAAAGAGCTTGCCCATACTTAATATGTATCTACTAAGGAATTTTGAATCTCACAATTATTCTTGTTGAAGTAAGACCTTGAGAGCTACATTCCTGGGAACTTAAACTTTCCATGCACATGCTGAGCATTCACAATAGGCCATGTCAGGCCCTGGGGATGTGCTGATAAAACCAAGATACAGCCCGGTCCTGGAGAAGCTCCCTGGAGGTGCTGCCTGTGACCCGCTTTATATGTTATATCACAGATGTCTTACATGTCTAGAAATTGCATAGAGGTGATCTGCTTTGGTGAGGAAAGAGAAAAAGATACATAGGATCAGTAGGACCAGCTGCCTTTTCTGGCTGTCCCCCAAAAGAAGCTGCCTCTTAAAAGCTAGTTTTAAGTGGAGAAATTTAATCATTTTTCCTAAAGCAAAATACCAATTAATTCTTAAGTATTCTAGTTCTAAATTCTAATGACTAAAATACCTAGTCATTATCAGAGCTGGTTAAGACCTTAAACTCCTTTAAACTCAGCCTTTGCATTTTGGGAGAAAACTGCAGATACCGTGTTTGCTCCTAAATTAAAAAAAAAAAAGAAATTGAAGTATAATTGCTTTACAATGTTGTGTTACTTTCAGCTACATTTCTTTATATGTGTTAATGGTTGTCGACATTTAAAAATTGAGAGATTTAAAAAAGAAAAATCCAGATTTCTGGTGTCTTTGGAAAACTGAACCAGAGAATTTCAGTGCCTTGCCAGATGTCACTTAACTAATGGAGGGAAATGCCTTGTGTATTAGGGGATCTCTTAATGAGGATCAGGACTTGTGGTCAGACAGCTTTGGTCGGGATCTGTATCACCAGGAACCAGGCAGTAGTACAAAAGGAACAAATGGTAACCAAATGATGATGAAACCAACATTCTCCATCCCAGGAAAACTTAAATGTTTATCTTTTGACATTTCAAAGCCAAGGAGGAGAGTGGAGGTCGGGTTCAAACTAGATGAGGGAGAGTAGAGAGGGTCCCAAACTGGCACCCAGGTGGACAGATGAGAGCAGAAGCGGGGAGCTGCTTACTTCCTGAGCCAAAGTCCATTCCTTGGCTGCCTTGCTTTCTACCTGCCAGCTGGGCCTGACTCTCCTCCACCCCCTTACCCTAGTCCTGAGGTGCACCCAACTGTCAGGGAGGAAACTTCCTCTTTCTTACCTCTTGCTGAGTCAGGACGTCAGGGATTAATCATGGCAGCCACATGGCCAGTTGTGTGGATGACCCAACAGCACATGTCGTGGTAGTCCTTGTCACAGCCCTCTGCAGAGAGGGGAGCTGAAACCAGGGTCACGGACAGAATCCTCCTTCATTTGATGTTTTCCCTCTTATTCGGTCAGTGTGGTGGGGGCTGTTCCCAGTAGGAAGTCATGTTGGCCATGACAAGTTAGCAGCCCATGGGGCCAACTTGACCCTGCAGAGATGAGAGTGTCAGGGCATCAAGGTCAGTAGAATAAAGGTGGCCCAAGATGGCACAGCTGACAAGAAAACCTCGTCAACACTGATATGTAGATTAGGGGAAAAAAAAGGAAATAGAGTTAAAAAATTTTTTTTTATCTCGTAGTTTGTGAAGACACAATTGTCTGAAAAGCAAACAGCATAAAAAGGAAAAATGTAAAAATCACCCATAGCCCCATAAAACAAAGACTGTTTTCTATGCACCCATGTACATGCTTGTGTTGTACGTGCCTTTTACAAAAACAAAGTGACCTATCCATATGTTGTCAGCCACAACTCCTGGAAGGGAACAGTGGACCTTGGTGGCTGGCTTTGTGACATCTCCTAGTGTTCTCAGTCACTCAGTCGTGTCTCTTTTTGGCCCCATGGACTGCAGCCCACCAGGCTCCTCTGTCCATGGAATGCTCCAGGCAAGAATACTGGAGTGGGTTGCCATTTTCTACTCCAGACCTCCTCAACCCAGGGATCGAACTGAGCCACCAGGGAAGCCCATATCCAGAGCCGAAAGCAGAGCAGGGGTTTTACTGGTCCTTATACCCCATTGATGATACAATCCAGTGTGGCGCCTGCACTTTTCAAGAACATTCACAGGAGAAGCAATATCAGGGTAGCCCGGCAGTGTATCCAGGTGTGTCAAGGGGGGACTGGCTCATCCGTGACCGCTGGGGAGTACAAAAGAGAAATCCCTGCAGCCTCCCAGAGAGCAGTGCCTCCAGCAAGCCTCAGCTCCCTCCACTCTCTCCCACACAGGGCCCTGGACTCTGGATCCTGCCAGGCCCGGAAACAGAGGTTCAAACAGAAACTGGACTTGAGGGCTGGAGGAGAAAGAATGCATTCGATCCCCAGGGAGCAGAGGGGGCAGCCCTTCAGTGAGGCCCAAGAACTGCTTACTCTTGCCCGCCCTGGGAGCTCACTTTGGCCTTGCAGCTTCTGCTTTCATTTATCTGGGAGCTGAAGATGCTTTTAGCAATTTGGGGTGTGACCGCTGGGGATGCGAGTATGGGCAGGAGCCAGCTGGGTTAACCCTTGTGTGGGTGAGGGTGAAGTTATAACTCACGGCGGATAGCCAGGAGAGTGTTGCCATGGCAACAGGACACGGAGGTCACCGTGTAGGGGTGGGTCTCATCCAGCTGCACTGGCCTAGGGAGTGCGGCGTCCTCATCTCTCCTTCCCAGGCGACCTCGGGCCCCTTTGCCCCAGGAGTACACTTCACCTTCTGCCAAAGAGAATCCCAAGGAAAGCAATGGGACAAGGACAGAGTTTAGCAAGCAGCTAGCNGACTGTTCTATACATCTGTGTCTTTTTTGCTGTCTCGCATATAGGGTTATCGTTACCATCTTTCTAAATTTCATATATATGCATTAGTGTACTGTATTGGTGTTTTTCTAGAAGTGTCATTCCTGATGATTAGGGCACACTTACTCCTATGGACCAATTTTATAGTCATTTTTATAAAGTAGTTTGCAGTTTTTGGTTGTCATTGTGTTAAATTTGTCCATAAATTTTGGAAGAATTGATATCCTTATTTAAAAATTCAGAACTATTGCCTACATGCTCTTTCATGGCCCGGAACAAATCCTTTGCAAGAATATTTTCTCCGTCTAACTCTTGTGTGCCATGTCGGTTTCCTTTATATTTGTTACAGAGCTTTCTGCATATCTCCCCAGGTGTTTTTGTATTTATTTTTTCTTGTTTATTCATTTTTGAGTTGGGTTTGATATTGACCACATGAAAGGATGAGAGGGTTCTCTTGGGTCTTTTTCCTGTTTATATTGTAAACTTGGCATGGGAGTGTCATCTAAGAAAGATCTTTCTTGCCCTCCTTGGAGGTGTTTTGCTTCAGTCGGGGAACACTATGTCTTGGGGCCTGGATTCCTCAGTTGTGGCAACTGCTTGGCTAAGACTGGCTCACGAGTGAGATACCTCTTCCCTGAGGGAGTGTTAGCTTCCTCTTCTTTTGTCTTTGCATGTTGGAAATTCTCCCTTTGAGGACTTAGATGAGCATCATGCCTGCTGGAGACTTGATCTATCAGTTCTGGGTGCTCACCAGCTGTGGTATGTGGGTTGGGCATGGCTGGAGAAGCCGGGCCACTCATAGCTGTGGGATGTGGCCTCCACATTTTGTTTTTATTCTCATTTTCTTCCCTGCTGTAGTTTTTGAAACCTCTGCTTTTGGTGTCTTAGTGCCCTGGTGTATCTCACCTTGGCCTAACATTTCTGTTCACACGCTTGGCATGCTGTTGGGGACGTGGCCTCTGGGTTGAACCAGTCACAGACCTGCCTTGGGCTTTGGTCAGGACAGGAAAGTCACAGCCTGCCCTTCTTGGGGGAGGGGGGCTGAGTCACTCTTGCTGCTGCTATTGGTTTGTGATGACAGAAGGGTCGCCCTTGAGTGGTCTGAGTGTCCCTTCTGTGACGTCTCTTGCCACCCCTTCCATCCTCACCCTCCGTCAGGCCTCTTGCATCCTTCTTAAAAAAAAACTGGGTCAGAGAATATCAAGAGCTGCACTTATGTCTTTCCTTTTCTAGCCCATCCAGGCACAGGGGCCAAAAGTGGATTCATGCTGAGGCCCTTTGGGTTGTTCCCGTGGCCCATGTGATGATGCGATATTGTGGACTTGTATAGTTTTTCTCCATGACTTTCTCCCAGGAGAAGGAGCTGGTTGCTGGAATCACCACTCCCCACAGGCCTGCCGCAGTCTCTGGTGTATTTAGATGGAGTCCTCAGGGGCCGTAGTGTGTGGTGGGCTACCCCGACTCTCGGGGCTCATGGAACCTCTTCTCCACTTGCGTTTCTCATTGGTTATTTGGGTCTATTGAAAGGAAGGGGGCTTGGAGCCTTCTCATTGTGCCGCCATTTTTCTGGAAATGTGAACTCATCAGAATCATCATTGCCTGTGCTCTGTGTCCTGGCAGATCCTTAGTCTGCAGAGCTGCATGCAGGAGCATGGTAGGTCAAGTAGGTGAGGGAGCAAGGGAAGGCCAGAACCAGTGACCTTTGATGGGACACAGTGCCCTGTGTTTTTCCTCTGGGTTCTCATGTGAGAGAGGCAGGTCCTGGGATGGACCGCAGGTAAGACAGGCAACTCGCATGACCTGAGCCCTTCACCATCTTGGGCAGCAAGCAGGATGTTTACCTTCAATATCCAGTTCTAAGTGGGCACTTCCAACTTTAAACACAATCTTGGTTTTCCCCTTCACCCTCTTACAGGGTATTTTTTTCCTTAAGTTAGACAGTGCTTGTCTCTTGGTTAACTTCACCTTAGAACAGATAAAGCTTTTCTTTCAAGTTTTAGTTTTTCTGAAGTAAAAACCAATGATCAATTCTGTTGAATGTAGCAAGAATTAAGTAGTAACAGAAACACTCCATAAAATAGTCTTTGTAAAGCAATGTACAACTAGGTCTCCCTGGCCAACATTATCCCAAACCTGGAGCATCGTTAGGTCAAGATCATGTGAAACTGCTGATCTGTGACCATTTTTACCCGAGACAAGGCATAGTTGAATGGTTTAACTTAATATTATCATAATTCATTCCTAGACTGATAAGATGCTTATTTACAATTCACCTTGCATTTTACATGGGCTTACCTGGTGGCTCAGACAGTAAAGAGTATGCCTGCAATGTAGGAGACCCAGATTTAATCCCTGGGTCGGGAAGATACCCTGGAGAAGGAAATGGCAACCCACTCCAGTATTCTTGCCTGGAGAACCCCATGGACAGAGGAGCCTGGCAGGTTACAGTCCATGGGGTTGCAAAGAATTGGACTCGACTGAGAGACTTCACTTTGCATTTTATATAGAATACAAGCCCTCTGGAAATTCAGGCCAGTTTATAGACCAAAAAAGAAAAAAGAAAAAGAAAGAAAGAAAAGCCATTCTCCCTCTAGAAAAGAAACCCTTGCTATTTTGTGCAGTCATGCCTCCAAGCACTTCAACCCCTCACAGTCTCAGCCAAAGAGATTTCTCCAGAATTTCCATCTCCATTAGCAGCCCCCATCTTCTTCTTTTATCTGAGATGAGAAGGAAGAAAGTAAAACAGAGTTATTTGGCCTTTCCTATGTGTGGAATTTTCCACAACTAAATCTCGTTGCTCTGTGTTCATCAGGAATTTTTCCACTTTATTTACACCAAAGATGTGTCTCCTCACTCCGTCCTTCTCTCCTTATTCAGTGGAGTTTTCCAGAGGAACTGGCTGACAGAGTGTACTTTGAATCGCAATTGTTATTTCCTTGGCTATAACCTTATCTTTTACATAGTCTTTATAGGGCTTATACTTACAAATCCAGGCTTATGATAAAACAGAATGTCTTAAGCAAATTTTAACCTAGCCTCAAACATGGATTAAAGTTATTTTCCTGGCTGGGATTTACTGGGGAAATGTCAGTTTCTGTATTCATAGATTCTTGCCTTTTAGAGTTTTGAGGGCTCTTGGCAGGTTGAGTCACTACCCTGCAGGGCACCACTCTCTCCTGAGACTGACTTCCCTTGCCATTGAGATGCACAAGGTCCCCAGCCCGGTCCCTCTGCAGAGCCTCAGACCTGCAAAGCCAGCAGTGTCCTGGGTGTCCCACGTGTGCCACGTCCGAACCCCAACCCAACAGCTTCACCCCCCCAGGCCAGCACTCCCATGGCTCTGTTCAGAGTATGAAGAGCACAGTTACTTTTCATATTCAGGTACTCCCTGGGGGCCTCCCAGACCCCTCACTCTCAACCCCTTTCTGTCATCATTAACTACCAGATTTGGGCTTCCCTGGTGGCTTAAATGGTAAAGAATCTGCCTGCAATGTAGGAGACTCAGGTTCGATCCCTGAGTCAGGAAGATTCCTTGATGAAGGAAAAGGCAAACCACTCCAGTATTCTTGCCTGGAGAATCTCATGGACAGAGGAGCCTGACGGGCTACAGTCCATGGGGTTGCAAAGAGTCGGAACACGACTGAGCAAGTAAGCACACACTGTTCACCCCCTTTCAAGTCTTTGCACCTCTTTTCATCCCCACTGTTAGTTTCTGAGATCAGACCATTATTTTTTCTGTCTGGATCTGCTCTCCCAATGCCATAACTAACCCCTCTGTTTTCAACCCTGTCTCCTGTGGTCCATTTTGCCCCGTTGCCTGATTGACCTTCTGCAGTGCCCAGCTGGTCTGCTTGGTTCTCCTCAGGTGAAGGCCTGTTCCCCACTCCTGCAGGTAGCGCCCACCTTGGTCCTGCTGTGATGTCCCTGTTCAGCCCTCTCCCTGGCTTCAGCATCACCCCTGCTCAGCTGATTTACATCTTATCGTTTGCTACCTGCTCATCCTCAGGATGAGGCTCAGATACAGTGTTCTGCAGGAGACCTTCCCTTGCCCCTCTCATATTTTAGTGCTCTCTGCTTACCCTGGTCTTCACACTTACCTCTCTTAATAATAAATATTTGTTGAGCATAGATTATGGGCCAGGGACCCCAGGCTAATCCCCTGCACCATACTTGTTTTTGTGTCAGTTTCCATCCTTGATGCCAGGCTCATTTTAGGAGCTCAGTGAAAGACAAATGATAGAATGTCTGCAGGGAAGAGAACTCATGACTCCAGAGGAAGCTGCTGGTTTGTACTAAGAATTTGGCAGAGTCTGGACTTGCTAACCTGAAGTCTTAGCTCACCATATCTTCTTGTTTTGGAAGTACTATAGCACACATTGATTGTTTTTGGTTACTTAGAAAAAAGCTCAATTATTGAATTTTTCTTTTTGAAAAGCTTACTAGTTCAGTTCATCAATATATTGTATGTCTTACCCTTTTTTTTTTTAAACTGTTTTCATTATTGAAGTATAGTTAATTTACAGTGTGTTGATTTCAGGTATACAACAAAGTGATTCAGTTATATATATATGTATGTGTGTGTGTGTGTGTGTTCTTTTTCACATTCAGTGTATATCTTGACTTTAAATTTGTCATGATTTCTGCAGATAAATGGTATGCTTTATAACTGGTTTTGGATCTCAGGGAGTTATTTACTTGCCACCAAAACAAATATGCTCTGAGTTCCTTGGTGTCTGGAACTCATCGACTTTGTGGTCCAGCTCCAGCCTGCTCTTTGGTGTCATGTAGATCTTCAACAGATATTTGATGGAAAGAAAATAAATAAATGAGTGAGTGAAAGGGGATTCCCCAGAGTCATGACACAGAGCTCTGTCTTGTTCTTACTCAGTATTTTCTGAGTGATTGTGGCTAATCATGGGT